GAAAATTATAACTATGCAACCATCTACTACAGTATCGCATCAGGCAGTGCATTATAGTCTCCCTGAGAAAAAAATCCATTCATTCGTTGCAATAGGAGAGAAAGAATTGTCTAATCTCGTTAAATCATCTAAATCAACAACATGTATGTTAGACCGGATACCTACTAAGATACTGAAAGTAATGCTTCCAGAGGTCATAGATCCTCTTCTTAATATCATTAATTCACCTTTGTCATTAGGATATGTACCGGAAACCGAAAGCTGGGTATTATTAAACCTCTTATTAAAAAAACGCAACTTGATCCTAGATAATTAGTCAATTACAGGCCGATCTCAAAACTACCCTTTTTGTCGAAGATACTAGAAAAAGCAGTATCCTCACAACTATGTTCCTTTTTAGAAAGAAATGCTATCTGTGAGGATTTCCAGTCAGGATTTAGACCGTATCATAGTACTGAGACTGTTCTCATTAGAGTTACAAATTATTTGCTCTTATCATCAGATTGTGGTTGTATCTCTCTGTTAGTGTTACTTGATCTTATTGCTGCATATGATACCATTGACCACAACATTCTTTTAAATAGACTCGAAAATTATGTTGGCATTAGTGGAATTGCATTAGCATGGTTTAAATATACATACTTATCTGACATTTACAAGTTTGTAGCAGTAAATGAAGAAATGTCTTATCGATCACAAGTTCAGTATGGAGTACCGCAAGGCTCATTACTAGGACCGTTGCTGTTCACTCTGTACATGCTACCCTTGGGAGATATCATTAGGAAGCATGGGATTAGTTTTCACTGTTATAACGATGATACTCAGCTCTATATCTATTCGTGCCCCGACAAAACTTGTCAACTAAAGAAATTAACGGAATGCAGCTGATATAAAAATTTGGATGACTAGTAATTCCCTATTACTTAATTCTGAAAAAAAAGCTTAGTTTGCTGAGTTTCTAATGCTTACAAACTAGAGCTGGTCCAAAACGCAGTAGCTAGAGTTTTTACTAGAACCAGGAAGTATGACAATATAAGCCCGGTTCTGTCAACACTGCAATGGCTCCCTATTAATTATCGTATACATTTTAAAATATTGCTGATTACTTACAAAGTACTTAATGGTTTAGCTCCCCAGTACTTGAGCGAGCTCTTAACGCATTATAGTCCTTCACGTCTATTGCGATCTCAAAACTCTGGCCAGTTGATTATACATAGAATATCAAAATCGACTGCTGGCGGTAGATCCTTTTCCTATTTAACACCTAAACTCTGGAACAGTCTTCCCAATATTGTCCGGGAAGCAGACACACTCTGTCAGTTTAAATCTAGACTAAAAACACATCTCTTTAACCTGGCATACACTGAAATCAGCTGGATCCAGGCCGTATCCAGATCAGATGGTGGACCTGCGCCTAGACACGACCACAACGCATGATGTAGTCAGCCGGATCAGGGCCGTATCCAGATCAGATGGTAGACTTGGGCCTAGACACGACCACAACGCATGATTTAGTCAGCCGAATCGGGGCGTACCCGGACCAGATGGAGGATCTGCACCTAGACAAGACCACAACGCATCCCTGAAGTGTCAGCAGAGATTGTGTTGGGCAGATATGGTGTTTTGCGGTAGGTAGTATGCCATACGGAACCGTTGCCACTGAACCTACTTTAACAAAGACAGTGGGGCTCGACAGCCTTAGTCAAACGGGTTGGCGCGTATGGTTGGGTTGCGGAGAGATTGTGAGATTGTGGTTAGGTCACATGTGAACTACGAGGAAGGAGCAACCTCAGCAGCAGGAGGGATGTAAAGGTCAGTAAGCTGGGCTGAGTTGAGTGGGGGACGGAGGGGGGTGACTCTGGGACTCAGAGTCACTGTCGAGCCCTCTTGAGGTGTCGTGGGTTAGTCGACGAAACACTGAGGACGGAAGGTGCCCACTTGAAGACCCTTGAGATGTCCCCTACTCGGCTCAATCCAGACGGTTGTCGTGCTGGTCCACTGGGGAGACCACACTGTAGTTGCAGCCGTTGTGTGTGCTGACGCGCCCAAGTACACTGCAGCCGTAAACGTTGGACAGAAGGAGATTCACATCACCATATGGAAGGAAGCGTAAATGGATGGAGAAGCGTAGGTTACTGTAAAGCTACGTCTTAGTTTGTACTTATCTTGGCGAAAGCCGAGTACAAATCAGCATGAAGTTTTAACATCTACTCTCGTGTAATGGAAATCTTAACAAGACTCTCATTGAAGGCCTCATCAACACGACAGCCATCAGCACTGATCCTCAACAAACCTGTCTCCATCCCGGTGTGATGACTCTGATCTTCAACCAGATGGAACTGGATAATATTCTGATTAATCCAAACCAATCTGACTTCTGACCTACAGTATAATGTTGCCTGAATCATAATCATACACTATTCGTTCATTGGCCAGAGGAGAACTGGCTCCCTGACTGAGCCTGGGTTCTCCCAAGGTTTTTTTCTCCATTCTGCCACCTGATGGAGTTTTGGTTCCTTGCCACTGTCACCTTTTTCCACCTTTGTTGCCATTGGCTTGGCTTGCTTAGTTGGGGACATTAAATTTAACATTTAATTTAATATTCAACAATAATATTGATCTGCCTGCATTGACACTATACAAGAACAAGAATTGAACTGAGCTGGATGATGACATCACGGTTTACTCCAGAGCAGATATATACAGGTCCTTCTAAAAAAATTAGCATATTGTGATAAAGTTCATTATTTTCCATAATGTAATGATAAAAATTAATTTTAGATTCATTGCACACCAACTGAAATATTTCAGGTCTTTTATTGTTTTAATACTGATTATTTTGCCATACAGCTCATGAAAACCCAAAATTCCTGTCTCAAAATATTAGCATATCATGAAAAGGGTCTCTAAACGAGCTATTAACCTAATCATCTGAATCAACTAATTAACTCTAAACACCTGCAAAATGATTCCTGAGGCTTTTTAAAACTCCCAGCCTGTTTCATTACTCAAAACCGCAATCATGGGTAAGACTGCCGACCTGACTGCTGTCCAGAAGGTCATCATTGACACCCTCAAGCAAGAGGGTAAGACAGAAAGAAATTTCTGAACAAATATGCTGTTCCCGGAGTGCTGTATCAAGGCACCTCAGTGGGAAGTCTGTGGGAAGGAAAAAGTGTGGCAAAAAAACGCTGCACAACGAGAAGAGGTGACCGGACCCTGAGGAAGATTGTGGAGAAGGACCGATTCCAGACCTTGTGGGACTTGCGGAAGCAGTGGACTGAGTCTGAAGTAGAAACATCCAGAGCCACCGTGCACAGGCGTGTGCAGGAAATGGGCTACAGGTGGCGCATTCCCCAGGTCAAGCCACTTTTGAACCAGAAACAGCGGCAGAAGCGCCTGACCTGGGCTACAGAGAAGCAGCACTGGACTTTTGCTCAGTTTTGCATGTCATTCGGAAATCAAGGTGCCAGAGTCTGGAGGAAGACTGGGGAGAAGGAAATGCCAAAATGCCTGAAGTCCAGTGTCAAGTACCCATAGTCAGTGATGGTCTGGGGTGCCATGTCAGCTGCTGGTGTTGGTCCACTGTGTTTTATCAAGGGCAGGGTCAATGCAGCTAGCTATCAGGAGATTTTGGAGCACTTCATGCTTCCATCTGCTGAAAAGCTTTATGGAGGTAAAGATTTCATTTTTCAGCACGACCTGGCACCTGCTCACAGTGCCAAAACCACTGGTAAATGGTTTACTGACCATGGTATTACTGTGCTCAATTGGCCTGCCAACTCTCCTGACCTGAACCCCATAGATAATCTGTGGGATATTGTGAAGAGAAAGTTGAGAAACGCAAGACCCAATACTCTGGATGAGCTTAAGGCCGCTATCGAAGCATCCTGGGCCTCCATAACACCTCAGCAGTGCCACAGGCTGATTGCCTCCATGCCACGCCGCATTGAAGCAGTCATTTCTGCAAAAGGATTCCCGACCAAGTATTGACTATTGAGTGCATAACTGAACATAATTGTTAGAAGGTTGACTTTTATTTTTGTATTAAAAACACTTTTATTGGTCGGATGAAATATGCAAATTTTTTGAGACAGGAATTTTGGGTTTGCATGAGCTGTATGCCAAAATCATGAGGATTAAAACAATAAAAGACCTGAAATATTTCAGTTGGTGTGCAATGAATCTAAAATATATGAAAGTTTAATTTTTATCATTACATTATGGAAAATAATGAACTTTATCACAATATGCTATTTTTTTAAAAAGGACCTGTATATATATATATATATGGGCATGTTAAAGAAATGGCTTGTCTATATAATAAACCATAAATAACAGTGCTTTGCATCTGCGGCTTAAATGTGTTTCACTTGGCATCCAGTGTTGTGCAATATGGTTTTAAAAACTCATTATTGCCCCTTATTGTTTGCATAGCTGGTGTCCAGTGCATTTTTTGTCATATAAAACCATGCACATGTACTTATGACAGCTGTGAAGTTACACTATAAAACAGCAGTGAAGTTTATTTCAACCCAGAGAGACTTGACATTCACTCCTCAGGTGACTTACTCTTCTTTTCAGTTTTATTCATTCATTCTGTGATATATAACAATTCCAGTGTTGCTATCAGTCAGTTGGGGTTATATGAAGGTGAGGTGGATTGGTTATTGCAGGGGTGTCCAATCCTGCTCCTGGAGTGCCACTGTCCTGCAGTTCAGCTCCAACCCCAATTAAACACATCTGAACCAGCTCACCAAGGTCTTAGGCATACTATACACTTCTAGGCAGGTGAGTTGAGGCAAATTGGAGCAATACTCTACAGGACAGAGCAATACTCTACAGGACTGAGTTTGGAAAAGGGTCTGAGCTCTTTTTTATTAATATTATTAATGAATTGACATAAAATTTTATTTGAAGCACATAACTAGAATTCTTGATGTAATTTTTTTCTGTCTTTAGATTTCAGTTGCGAAATTATTTATACATAATATTTGAGTTTTTTGACTGAGAAGACCGACCAGGAGAAAATGAACAACTCTGCAGTGAACTTCACCACACCTGAAACATTCACCAACCTCACATCTTCATTACTTCATGAAAGGGAAATGCTAGAAAGTTTTACATCAGGCTTCAATTTCATGTTTGGTTTTCTTATACACACCTATGTTTTGTGGCTCATCGTCAAAGGGACAGGAAGCAGCGTTGCATCAGATTTCTTCAACCTCAATCTCTCTGTTTGTGAGATCTTGTTCTCTCTGAATTGTTTATTAAGTATAGTGGTAAATGCCATAAGATTTAAAGGATTCACAACATTACCACCATTTTTACAAGGACTTGCATTCACTGGTCGTCCTCTGTTTCAGTGTCTGATCTGTGTTGAGCGTTACCTGGCAGTGGTTCATCCTGTAACCTTTCTGAAGTACAAACCTCTCAGATATAGAGTGATCTGCTGCACTGCGGCCTGGATAATTATTCTTGGCTCTTGTTTGTTCTGCCTGTTTTCATCCATCTCAAATACGTTTTATATATATTCATGGTTTTTCTCCATTCAGTTGCTACTTTTCCTCTCCATTCAGTTGTTTTGCCTTTTGGTCATCCTTAAATCTCTGAAGCAGTCAGGACCAGGAGAGAAAAGAAGAGAGAGAGAGGAGGAAAGCCACATGAAGAGAAGAGCGTTTATTATTATTCTAATAACTACAGTGAGCATGATTATCATGCTTGTTCCATATACTATTACTGGACTTGTCACTGCTGTGAAACAATTTTATTCAGCTCTTTGGTTTATTAGTTTTATGTGTTTTATGCTGGCTGGTTTTGTACAGCCTGTTCTTTACCTGCACCGGACTAGGAAACTATCCTGCCTCTTTTCCTTCATAAAAACTAAAATAGTTATAATTTGTTGAGCTAGGCTACTAAGCGCCAACAAAAGTGCGTTTGATCTAACTCTAAACTACATACTCCTGGTTTCACAGACAAGGCTTGACTAAATGCATGTTTATTTAACTGAAATCAACTTGCACTGATACATCTTAAAATATGTTAGTGTCATTGTTTTGCCTCAAGATGCACACCAGTATTTTCTTTTCTAAGGCAGGTTAAAAAAAGCTACATAAATGTCCTAATTGAACTAAGCCCTAATCCTGGCTTATTCTAAGCCCTGTCTGTGAAACCAGGCCTTTATGTTAAATCAGTCATTTTATTTATTTCTTTTTTGGCTCTGTATTTTCACATTCATAGTGAAGACTATAGTATGTTGTGTGATCAGATTGATTACCAGCCAGTTAGCTTCCCAGACCACATTATTTGTTGCAAATTTCCTTGTTTTTCTCTTCTGCACTTTTACTGGATTAGCGTAGTAGATAAGCCTATATTGTGTATAATAATGCACTAAAGGAAATACATAAGAAATGCTGGATGATTTGGTTAATTGTCTTTGTGATGTTAATACACGTTTCAGTTTATTGAATTTGACATTTGTACATCTGTGCTGAGAATAAATGTTTTTTTTTTCTTTAATTTTTTTATTCATTTATTGTAATATGGTGATGTGAGCTTGGAAAATATCGAATGACTTAATATTTCCAGTCCAGTTGCTGAATAAAAAGATTTACTGTTTCAAAGCTATCTAAACTCTGCACTAAGGACATCTGCTGGTTATGGCCTTGTACTGTAAATGCAACGGGAACACATGAAAACAAAAGTTTTATTAAGCAACCGAAAGTGCAATTTATAATATAAGTAAATACTATTAAATATAAAATATATGTATGATAAGCAAAGTATTTGATTAATTTATAGCACAATCTATAGTATTTAGTGCATTTATAGTGCATTATTATACCTGAGTATTTTGAGCACAAAGGAAAGGTTATCAATGATGGAACAGATTTTGCAAGTGAGTTTAATTCCTTCTTTGTCAATGCCGGACCTAATATTGCGAAAAGTCTTGAAAAATCCAATCATGTAGAATGGTGTAGTAGTGCGACAGGAGGTAGTAGAATCTTACAGTCAATGTTTCTCAATGAATTTACCGGAACTGAAATCTTAGATATTGTGAGAAAGTGCAAAACTAAAACATCTTGTGATGGTGATGGAATAGATATGAGCATTGTAAAAAAAACTATAGATTGCATACTTCAACCTCTAACTTATATTTTCAATCTTTCTTTTAGTTCAGGTGTTTTCCCTCAAAAGATGAAGACTGCTAAGATAATACCTACCTACAATACCTACAGCTTCATTACAGCTTCTATACATAACCTTAATTGTTCCATATTTAACATATTGTATCGAAGTGTGGGGTAATGCTTGCACCAGTTATACAGAAAGGCTTTTCTTACTTCAGAAGAAAGCGATAAGAATTGTGACTTATAAAGGTTTACGAGACCACACAAACAAACTGTTTATAAAATTGCAGACCTTGAAATTAAAAGAGTTGGTCAAATTTAAAATACTACAAATTATGTGGAAAGTGAAAAATAATTTGGTGCCAATACATATTCAAAACAAATTCATGCTAATTACAGACAGTAAAAACAGAAGAAAAGGTAATTTTTGTGTACCATATTCACGCACCTCACAAAAACAAAAAGGGTTTCTTCCAATTGGGATCAATTTATGGAACTCTTTGGACATTGTGCAAAAAACATGTAACACGATTGTTCGATTAAAAAAAAATGTATAAAAAAAATGCTCTTAGAAAATACGAAGGCAGTGAAGCATAAGAACCAATGTTTGACAAATTTGAAATTGTTAATTATTTAGATGTGAAGTAATATTGTAGCCTACCTCGATAAAAAAAAAAAAACGGCGAGCCATCTGTTTTGTGTCAAGTAAGATTATTGAAAAAAGGGGCATGAAATTATAAGACTAGGTCTTCCTCATGCTCCTATTCAGCATTGAATGTTATTATTTTATTGTTGATGTGATTAATATTGTGTCTGTAATAACATCATGACTGAATAAAGAACTTGAACTGAACTGAACTGAACTGAAGTATTTTAAGAACTTTAGAAAATTCTACTAGTTTTAAAAATTCTGATAACTTATAAACTTAATCGGTTGCAATATAGGCTCATTTAATGCTGATTCATTGTGTAACACGCCTGAGTTATCCTCTAGCTTTACAGTTCTTACCCAGCGCTGTTCGGTGGGTTCTTGGCTTCGTTCTGTTAATCGGGTTATCACCACTGTAGGGAGGACACTGACAAGGACCTCCGGTGATTACAACACTTGAACCCTTAAACCCTTAAGTGAACCCTTAAATGTCACCTCCTACAATTGGTTCAGATCAAATCCTTAGTGTCCATTTTTAAATGTGTCATAGCAGTAACCAAGTAGTAGCTAAAATTCAGTTTAGCACACGGCCCAAAACACTAATTCACGAAAGAAAAGATTTGTAAAGGTTTCACACAGTTCTGATGAGTAAACTGTCTTATTTGTATCTTACCAACATCCCACCACTGTTGTAATGAATAAAAAGAAGACTTCTTTGTTTTGTGAACTTCCCAAAAATACTTAAATGATTCCTTAAAAATATATATAATTTGACAAGTTAGTATTAAAATGCCAGTATGCGCTTTTTGGTTCTCTTTCAAGGGAACTTGATCTGCATCGAAAGACAACCCTTTGGGGAACGCCTTCAGCGTGATGTGTCTGAAGCCTGTATGGAACTAGTCCAGTCTCCATTGGTGTTGCGTCATGACGTCACTTGTGACGTGACGTCACATGTGACAGCGATTCGGAAGCTATAAAAGGATCCGCTCCCGCCTGGCCCTGTTCGATGAGACAGTTTGGTTACTACATAAGCATTGGTGGAAAATGCTCGGGTCGGGCTGGTGCATGCCTGCACACGATGGGGATTATGCAGGCATACCAGGCCGACCTCCTGAAAGAAATGGAAGACAGTGAGGAGGTTTCCCTTGACGACTTTAAAGAACGCGGCAGACTTGTCTCTCCGTGCTACCAAGGAGACGGCCCGTGCCATCGGCCGCTCCATGGCAGCATTGGTAGCCACGGAGAGGCACCTGTGGCTGAACCTGTCGGGCATTGGAGAGAAGGACAGGGCCTTCCTCCTCGATGCCCCGCTTTCACCTTTTGGCCTCTTCGGCGACGCAGTCAATACTGTCGAGAGGGTTCAGGAGGCGAAGCGACAGTCAGTAGCTTTTAAACAGCTGATCCCCTACCGTCGCTCAAGATCTCGTGGGTCTGCTGCCAGGGAGCAGCCCCACCAGTTAGCCGCCAGCTCCTCGCGTTGCCTCTCGAGCCCCCCCACAAAAGGCCTGGCGTCCGAGACAATACTCTCAGCCGAAGTCCTCCAAACCAAAGGCAGATCTAAGGACTGTCATTCAGGCTGAAGGCTTTGGTGAAGAGGCCCTGACATGATGCTCAGGCCTTTGAGCCCTAACACAGTGATACCATCAAACTCTTTTGCCCGGTCAACAGCATTTTTCAAATCGCTGTGAGTTTTCTTGTAAAAAAGCAACATATATATTATATATTGTAGCTCTTTTTCTAGAATCTCTTGCAACATTAACATTCAAATACATGTATTTCACTAATACATAACAAAAAATTAAATAAAAACCACTCAAAAAGACAAAAAAAACATAAGGCATCCTACTTTTAGAGTTAATAGAAATCATTATTCAAGACAGTATTGAGATTCCTCACAATTTTCTTCAGTCGATACACTTCTTTGTTAGTGAAGCAACTCTCTGCCATTAGGCTTCTTGCTTTTTCAACGAACTGTTTGATATCAGGAAAATATTCCTGCACGCGCACACCTCTTTTATTTTTAGTTGATCTAAGGAATAACTTAATATTATCAAGCTCATACTTCCAACCAATAAACTCACCCTGAGGAAGTCACACTAGAGTCAGAAGACCCACCATCACTCTCTATATCCTGATCCTCATCCTCTTGCTCTTCATTTTTTTTTATTTTTTTTTACTTATTTTGGCATCAAATACTTTATTACTTTTCTTCCTTTTCTGAGGCATTTTAAAAATAGTTTGCTCTTCCTCCACACAATCCATCTCACGTGTCTTGCAACAACACTGAATTATTCTCTAAAGCACTATACTTTTGCTCATCTCTTTTGTTGTCAGAAAATGGTGCCAAGCTTGCTAAATCCTTTTTACCAGCATCTGAATGTGTTTCTGTGTGTGCCGTACATGAGTGCTCATGGTGCAATGAGGCCGACCCAACAACATTCTCACCGTGAACACCTGTAGCCGTCCCCGGCAATACCTCCCCGGCAACACCAGCCACACCACCTTCAGCATATTCTCTTTCACTACATTTGCCTCCTTTTCAGGACAATTGCGAATGAATAAATAAAATAAATGCCCAGATTTAACACAACCAAAAACACTTAGACTTTGTGTTAGTGACAAAAAAATACATAATCAAAATGATCAATTCTAAAATTGAGTGTCATGTCTAGCTCATACCAATATACCAATATTCCATACCGGGATAAAGCCTGTGTTAAAATTTCATCACTTACAAATGTTTGAACATTTGACAAATTGACTCGCTTAGCTGGCAATAAAAGGGGAAGAACAGGGACAAATTGACCACCATTAACTATTCGGTGTTCGACTACTTCATTGACTTTATCTACACACTATCAAGAAACATCACGATGGCACTATTCATTCTGGAGGTGGATAACACGCTCTCATGCCCCACAACCTCACCAATAGCCAGACAACATTTGTCCACACTCAACTCGGCGGCCACCTTAACCGCACGAAGCGAACTCAAAACCTGCACGTGTGGGGCCGACATGCTTCCCCTATAAAGTGGATTGCAAGTGGCCCAATGTTATTTGTGTTACGCTGGCTGATTATGTTCCGCCTGTTTTTTATCTGCATCGGACTGGGAAACTTGTCTTCA